CTGTTGTCTCTCTCTCTCGTGAGAATTAACCGTTTCTCATGGACAAGCTCCGAAACCAGAAGCAACATAATAATTATCCATTTTCGAAGGGGGGTTAGAACAAGAGACCTGGTATAGTTACCTCGTATCCTTCGCATAGCAAACTTTCAGCGATATTAACATTAATTGCGGCATCGGATGCATGTTGATCTCTCTTGTCGGGTTATCCCTTTGTGGGACCTCAAAGCCAGAAACTAATGACTATCCCGTACATGTACACTTATAATTACAAGCTAAAATCTTCTAAATTTGGTCAGTTTAATAGGCCTACTAGCTATTTGGGTCACGAATATGGATCCCGACCCCCCATTTCGAAAGCATTGTCTAAAATAGTTGATAGAATGTTATAGATAGATACTTCTTGCTTCAATATAATCACCTAGCCTAAATATGGTTCCACAAAGCCACCTGGCTGACCCGCCGGCAAAATTTGTCGTCTATAAATTTCAATAAACAGCCAAGAGCGTAAGTAAAATGTATAATATTGCTTCTTCTGTTAGTCATGGCGCAAGCCTGGCAAGAAGAAAAAAGCATAAGAGAAAAAAAAAATCTTATGAGAAAACAAGCAACCTCCTAAAAGGACCCACATTCTTTTTTAGACATCTTTATGCAAAGGAAGTGACGAATACCTTGATATTGGACATTTTTTCTTCCCCTAAGCTTTGTACTCCGTGGCCTCTAAGCTACTAGCCCAGAGAGCTTAATACCGGTTGCTTCTACCTTTTCAGGGTAGTAAGTCGCCCCAGTAGACTTTATGGTCTGCTTTTCTGTATTAGTCGCGATTGCGGACCTGTCACTGTCCATTTGGGGCAAGTTTCTTGTTAACTGACGTGATATCTGCTAGAAGGCTGGGATTTGTGTCGTCTAGTTTAGGAATTTGTCCCCGCTTTCTCCAAAGCATTAAGGTTTGATATATACTTAATTATCCTTATAGCTTAGGTACGGCGGTACATATTGGGATATTGGATATTGTAGATCGTTCAAGTATAGTTCCCGAGAACCCAGCCTATACTCTTTCAGTCTATTCAAGATCTACATTAGAACAATTTCCAGCCGGATTTCGGAGAGCCTTCGAGGAAGCCCTATTCAGTGCAGACCGGATGGGACTTACGGTCATGTGTATGAGTGGGTCGTGCGTGGTAGTAGTTACTAATTGTGGTTCATGTTCAGGTCCCACAACGTTACGGAACAAATTCATGAGATTTCCAGTCTTGGTTTGGGAACTAGCATTCTAATTTTACCTTGGAAGAACCCGTTTCCCCCTCCTGATTGCTGTAGTTCTAGAAAGGAATGAGGGGTAAAATAACCTGTCTTTGAGCTCGTGGACCGGGGCTTGTTTAAACAGGCACTAACCCGCGTGGTATCTCGTGTCAGGGTAGCCACTTACGTACATGTCGAGCTTTTTTTTGAGTATGGCTCTGTCGGTGGTTAATTTGAGGACCTTGTTCAAGCTGTTTTAATTATTACTTTATCAAATTGCCCACGAGTCTAGTTTAAAATGGATAGAAAATGAAACACTGATACGCCTCGGGCATATAGACTCCCTATCGCGTACGTCCCTGAGGATCCAGAGGCATAAATTATAGAAGTATTTACATGATGATGATGATAATAAGCTTGTTCTGCATGTTTAAATCCAACATGCTCGGATCTTAGCCTTATTCAGGGTACTTCGATCAAGATAGGTATCGCGGCATGGTGTTTCCTTAGATATCAAATATTCCAGCTGGTTCTCGGCCAGCATCACCAGCCGCACATCCAATCATCCATGCAGGAAAACTAGTTAACGTTGGATATATTCGGATACGAGGATTGCAATCTGCATATATGCCGTCGTACGTTACACTAAAGCACGGTTGTACACCATCTAATTGTGTCTCCTGTTTCGGAGTTGGACTTCGCATACACCGGCCACTTCGGATATGCATTTTGGAAACGAATAACATCGACTTGGATGTAACTCGTCATCAAGAGCTTTCGAATGATCTGACTATTGTCCGAATATCAGTTGGTGTTTTTTTTCCCTTTCCCGTGTCAAAATTTGTTAGACTGTAAGTAAAGTACAGTCGACTTTGAGAATGGAAGCCATACCGCAATAGTATTAAATCGGACCCGGCTTTCTGAGAGCAGACGACCATTTTCTTCGGGCAAAAGACCGAGTCCGTTACTTTTGGCCTCTGATCCATGGCTTCGTTCGGTTGGTGGCAGGGATGCCCGCTCTACTAAGTGTTATCGATAGTTGGGAGCTCGTTCTGGGTCGGTTCTAGCTCGGTGGTTAACCGGTCCTTAATAATCCTGCAGGGGCAAACAGCAACAGCTAATTAGTTGACTAAGATCGAGCCAGAGTACAGACGGTGAAAGGCTGCAGCTACATCGGCCCTCCGACTCAGAAAATTTTACTTTACCCGCCCCCCCCGCCAATTGAAGCAGCCATTTCAGACGAGGGACGAAAGTTAAGTAACCGGCCCCGAATTAATACCGTTGGAAAATTTTAAAGGTTCTTCATCTTTTTTATTTTTTGATTGATCTCTTCTCTTCTGCATTCCATCCTTCCCCAATTAATTCAACGAAAGTTAAGAGTTAATTCTAATTACCTGCAAAATGTCGACATACGCTCTATCCGAAGCCCACAAAGAGGTATTTGGGAATTACCCCGCCATTTACTGTTTACCATCCGTGGAATGCTAACGAGCCATGTACAGTTGCTGGAGAAGCCTCTCAGGGAACTCGATCCCGAGGTGGCCCAGTTGATGGTAAGTCTCTAAACTACTTCAATTACTTATAATATTACAATGTGATGTCGGAGTCTGATTATCGATGTAGGACCTTGAAGTCAAGCGTCAGAAGGAGTCCATCCTGCTCATTGCCTCCGAGAACATCACCTCCCGCTCGGTTTTCGATGCTCTTGGTTCGCCAATGTCCAACAAATACTCCGAGGGTTACCCAGGAGCCAGATACTATGGTGGAAACCAGCACATTGATAGCATCGAGCGATTGTGCCAGCAGCGTGCCCTCAAGGCCTTCAACTGCGACCCTGCAAAGTGGGGTGTCAATGTTCAGACTCTCTCTGGCAGCCCTGCCAACCTCCAGGTCTACCAGGCCCTCATGAAGCCACATGATCGATTGATGGGATTGGATCTGCCTCACGGTGGTCATTTGAGCCATGGTTATCAGACTCCTGCTAAGAAGATCTCTGCCGTCTCGACCTACTTCGAGACCATGCCATACAGAGTGGATACCAATACCGGCATCATCGACTATGACATGTTGGAGAAGACTGCCATTCTTTACCGTCCAAAGATCTTAGTTGCTGGAACCAGTGCCTACTGTCGTCTCATTGACTATGCTAGAATGCGCAAGATCGCTGACTCCGTCGGTGCTTACCTTGTCGTTGATATGGCCCACATCTCCGGTTTGATCGCCGCCGGTGTGATCCCGTCTCCATTCGAGCACGCTGATGTTGTCACTACTACCACCCACAAGAGCTTGCGAGGTCCTCGTGGTGCTATGATCTTCTACCGAAAGGGTGTTAGGTCTGTTGACGCCAAGGGCAAGGAGACTCTCTATGAGCTTGAGGATGCTATCAACTTCAGGTATGTAACTTAAGGACTTCGCTACCACCTTGTGTGTTACACAGTGTATCTTTCTAACATGTATACCTCGTCTAGTGTCTTCCCTGGTCACCAGGGTGGTCCTCACAACCACACCATCACAGCTCTCTCTGTTGCCCTTGGTCAGACTTTCACTCCAGAGTTCAAGCAATACCAGGAACAAGTTATCAAGAACGCCAAGGCTTGCGAAACTGAATTCAAGGCCCTCGGTTACACTCTCGTCTCTGGTGGAACTGATAGCCACATGGTTCTCCTCGACCTTCGTCCAAAGGGTCTTGATGGTGCCCGTGTCGAGGTCGTTCTCGAGTACGCCAACATTGCTTGCAACAAGAACTCCATCCCCGGTGACAAGTCTGCTTTGACACCCTGCGGTATCCGTATCGGTGCTCCAGCTATGACCAGCCGTGGATTCGGAGAGGATGACTTCAAGAGGGTCGTTAGGTATATTGACCAATTGATCAACATCACAAAGGAAGTTCAATCCGAGCTACCAAAGGAGGCCAACAAGCTCAAGGACTTCAAGGCCAAGATTGCCCAGGGTATTCCAGAGATCCAGGAGATCCAGAAGGAGATCATCGCATGGGCTTCCACTTTCCCACTCCCAGTCTAATTCTACCCACCATTGGACGACGGGTATAGAATGCAGCATCAGGTTAATGATTACTTGACTGTATAATTCATATTCTACCCTTTCATCATCTCTTTCTTATTCTATATTTGATTCGAGCTTTCCTACTGGGTTTTTGCGGGGTTTCAACACACATTCTTACTTATTTTTATAGCTCTTCTTGGGTATCTTGACGAAAAAAAAAAAGCTGGTGTTCTAGGGGGATATTCCACGGAAGGAGAACTGAAAAAAAGTGTATTCAACAACCATAATGTTAAATAAGAAATTAACCACGATGATCAGATCTGATATCAATTGAATATCATTATTTTTGCGTCTTAGTCTTGAGATGCAAAATGATCTAGCCGATGCTCTTGAAATATCGAGCGCGTTAGTAATTCTACATACCAGGTAACATTGAAGATTTAAATATATACCTCCATCGCTTTCAGCCTGTTTCGTATAAATCCAATGCTGAAAATACTAGAATGAATCCTAAAAACAATAAGCTCGCCGAGCTACTGCCCCTTCGCGTCTTTAACCGCCTTTAACTCCCGAATTCTACCCAGAACCTCCCTCTGTTTCCTAATCTTCTCTTCCAGAGCTTTCATTTCTTCCTCCTGCTCTTGAATTGACCTTTTGATGTCAGGTAAATCATTAAGTGTCGCCCTGGCCTTTTGAATCTTGATTCTTATCCGCGAACCTTCTGCATCAACATCCTTCGGCTCAATCGGAGGAAGGTTTGTCTGTGTATGTGGAGATGTTGACGAATTCTGAGGCAGTAGACGGACAAGGAGGTCGTAGGTTTGGGGGATGAAGTCGAAGGTTTCAGGAGGTGGAAAAGTAGGTGGGTGGGGGCCGGCGAGCGCGGACGTGTCAACAGGAACGAGGGCCATCTCGTATACACCCTTTTGGATATGCGTAGACGCGAAAGATAAAGAGCTCTCTCCCCCTCTATCTCTCTTTGACTCTATTTCGCTATGCAGGAGCTATGGCCCGTGCTGTGAGGGAAGGTTGAAGGAATTGAATAAAGCCCGATCCCGGCGATGAGGCAGGTTGTGGCCAATTAGTTCCTCTGAAGCAGGCGAGTGTGACGACATGGATTCTGTTGAGAAGGGCCGCCTTTTTTGTGGTTGCTTTTTTGGGGGGCAGTTTTCGCCGATGGGCTGGCTGGCTGGTGGGTTAATGCCTGTCCCGCAACTGCCCCTCCACGATAATAGGAATTATAAGAATTCGAACAGACCACTTATTTCTCGGAACTTCGTAAACAACCTCATCTCAATCGTCAATTCCCTTTCCTTGAGCATCGTTCTTTGATTCGTTCTAGACTTCATCGTTTATCGAAAGAATCAATAGACAGCAGCTAGCTATTCTATTGCTACCATTCGCTTTCGATTCTCTTTTATAGCTGCGACCAACGCAAGTTAGTAGCAGTCAAGCTAGTTAATCTGCAGATACCGAATCGATATATACCCTTTCACCACACAAAATGGCAGATGTTAAGAACAAGGCCGTTCTCAGTATGTACATGGAATGACTTTTATCACATACGGTTTGGCGATACTAACCTATGGACAGTCGTTATCGATGGATGGGGTATCCCCACCAGCGAGGGCCAACCAGGAGACGCCATCGGCCAGGCAGTTACTCCAAATATGGACAAATACTACCAAGACAAGCCAGGCTTCACCGAATTAGATGCTAGCTCGACGGCTGTCGGTCTACCCGAGGGCCTTATGGGAAACAGTGAAGTTGGACATTTGAACATTGGTGCCGGTAGAGTTGTCTGGCAGGTACGGATGGATAATCCCCCTCGATCCTTTATGTCTATTTGTTGTTACCCTTCTAAACTAATATTGGAATTGGAATATAGGACGTCGTCAAGATCGACCATAGCATCAAGCAAGGCGAATTCCCTAAGACGGAACAAATTGTAAACGTCTTCGACAAGGCCATCAACGGCAATGGTCGTCTTCACTTCCTCGGTCTCGTCTCGGACGGCGGCGTCCATTCTAAGCAAGAGCATCTCTTTGAACTCATCAAAGCAGCAAAGGTTAAGGGTGTTCCTGAGGTATATATTCACATGTTCGGAGACGGACGTGATACCGACCCCAAGAGTGGTGCTGGGTACCTAGAGACCTTGTTGGGAGTAATTAAGGATACCGGACTCGGCAAGATTGGAACCGTTGTCGGCAGATACTATGCCATGGATCGAGATAAGAGATGGGAAAGACTGAATATCGCTCTTGATGGATTGGTTAATGGCAAGGGAGAGACTAGCGAGGATCCAGTTGCTACTATCAGGTCGAGATATGAGAAAAATGAGACCGATGAGTTCTTGAAGCCAATTATTGTCAACGGCGACGAGGCTCGTATCAAGGGTGGGTATTTCAAGTCCATAAAGTATGAGAAATCATGGCGAGATACTAACAGGTAGATTATAGATAACGATACCCTCTTCTTCTTCAACTACCGATCCGATCGTGTTCGTGAAATCACCCAGCTTTTGGGTGTCGATAACTCCCCACTCCCAGACTTCAACTACCCTAAGGATATCTCTATTACCACCATGACACGCTATAAGGGAGACTACCCCTTCCCAGTTGCTTTCCCACCTCAGCGCATGGGTGATGTTCTCGCTGAGTGGCTCAGCAAGAAGGGTGTTCCCCAGTGCCACGTTGCTGAGACTGAGAAATACGCCCACGTTACATTCTTCTTGTAAGCAAGCCTTGAGTATCCGTCATTATATATGGTCGTACTAACATGTTCATAGCAACGGTGGTGTCGAAATCCAATTCGAGGGTGAAGACCGCGAACTCGTCTCATCTCCCAAAGTCGCCACATATGATCTCAAACCCGAGATGTCTGCCCAAGAAGTCGCAGACCGTCTTGCCGAAAAGATCGCAGAAGGGAAATACCCATTCCTTATGAACAACTTTGCCCCGCCAGATATGGTTGGCCATACTGGTGTCCTTGATGCAGCTATCGAAGCTGTCACCCATACCGACCGTGCTATCGGAACTGTCTTCGAGGCTTGCAAGGCTCACGGATACACTCTATTCATCACCGCCGATCACGGAAACGCTGAGGAGATGTTGAACGAGGAGGGTAAGCCGAAGACGTCGCATACCACCAACCGAGTACCATTCATTATGACAAACAGACCCGATGGGTACGGACTCAACGGCAGCATTGGTGTTTTGGGCGATGTTGCTCCCACGATCTTGGAGTTCATGGGGTTGGATATTCCTGAGGATATGACAGGGAAGAGCTTGTTGAAGAAGGATTAAAGGGATGTTAATTTTCTTGAATGAACGAAACAAACTTTTTTTAAAAAAAACAACCATGGGCGGTGTTTAATTGGGATTGTCGGGTTGGCGGGTTTTATGAAAAAGTACGATGGATCGAATCGATGTAGTTATAGATGGGATAGATGGGCTCCTACCGCTCGTTATATCGTCTGCGTGGGTTTTAGATACCCGCAGGTATTGGCCTTTAAATTAGAAGGACTGGAATAAGATTGGTACTTTTACCGTCGTTTCGTATTATGATTCTATCGTCGATGTAGTTCTCTTGATGGGATACAATAACTCCAATTCGAACTGAGCTGAGCTGGATAGGTAAGTAAATAGAGAGATAGTAAACGCCATATGTTTATATATGCTAATCAAGACCCATGCAATGCTGAAGTTTTTTGTTTTCATCAAACCCCGTTCTGTGCTCGAATTATTACAATTAGACCCATCAATTTTCAAGCCAGAAATGCCAAAAACGTCTAATATAATCCAAAAACCTGCAATAAGAAAGCCAACGAGAAAAACAAAAAGAAAGAAAAAAAGAAAACCAAAGATACTACGGCCAGCCCTCCCTGCTAGCTGTTTACTCATGTTTCACCCTGTCCATAAACTTTTGATAGATGAATCTTGCTGCTCGCTATACAATGATGCCCAAGACTCAATAGAACAGAATCAACCCCCATACAATTGGAACATGTACAGAATCTCCCCCTTGCCTCCCTTAAACTTTCTTCAGTACACCTTATTCCTTTCAATATGATGTCAGACACCACCAATAGAATGGTAGTACAATAGCAGCGATATCCCTGCAATCCAGACAAACCGCCCATAGAACGGATCTAATATCTCTTGTCTTCCTCTCAATCCAAGATCCACAGACTCTTGCCTTTCCTTTTCTCCATCCCTTAACCACCTGTCTTCCTACAAAATTGGATTGTAAGGCCTTTTGTAACGAAAAGCTCTTCTCATCAATCCATTTCTTAGCCTCTTCGCGTCCCTTTGCTGCAACATCTCCAGCTCCACTTTTCTCAATCCACTGGTTCATCGCTCCGGAGATTCCAGTAGGATCAATCATCACCGTCGCCTCCTTTCTGTACTTATACTTCTCATCGTCTCTATCCGAGGTCGGGGTAACTCGTCCTGAGGGCGGGTATCCGTATCCTCCCATTCCAGGTCTAGGACTCGAGGCCCTGGACCCTCCAGGCGACAAACTTCCTGACGCAGTGGCACGGGGTTTCTGGGAAATCCCTCCGAGCGGCGGCGTGGCGAGCGTACTCGACGTGGTACCGTTGACCGCGGGGATCAGTGTATGCTGATGATACATGAAAGTGGCGGTCGTGGGCGTGGGGGTTGCTAATGGTAGAATGGGATCTTGTTTCTTGGCGTTAAAATTCGCCTTTTCTGGGGAGATAAAGAGGGAAGGTGGGGGGTTGCCGGTTTTACCTGATCTTGAAAATGAGGACGAAGAGCGGTGATAGTAAGGGGAGTGTTGGATTTTGATAGCGAGGATGATAAGGGTCCAGGCGAATAAGCCTGCGTAGAGGAAGAAGATTCCTAGTTGATCGGGGAGAAGGCAAAGGTGAGTTTGGGCGTTTATACTGTATTCGGTGGCGTTATCGAGGCGGTTTTTCTTGCGGGCTTGGTTTTTCTCGAAGTTCTTAATGAGGTTTTCATGTGGGTAGTCACGTTCGTCTGGATTGTAGAGACTCAAGAGGAGGATACCGGGTCTGCGGATTCCCATGCACCAGCTGATGGATTTGACCGTGATTTCTTTGACGACTCCCCAGCGTCCTGTGCGGATACCTTTGCCCGGGTCGCCGACACCGGAGTGCTCATGGACGCAATAATCGTGGTCATCGCCGGAGAAGACCCAGGTTGGTGAAACTTTCTGGAGGAGATCACGGCTGAGGTCGTGGGAAAGGACGTTGGAGTATTGATAGCCAGCTCGGAAGGGGATTCCACCGCCGTGCGCTTTAGACTCGCGGAGGGGTCCACATGGCGTATTTGGGCCTCTGTACAGCGGAACATGGGTTAGCAGTATGGAAGGCAATCGCCTGTTAAACATATTCTGCTGTGGTGGCGGCTGTCCTTGGTCTCCGGTGTCCTTTTCATTCGCAAGTTGGATTTGCTGGGACATCAATTTCCTTGGGACTGGCGTTCTAGGTACCGGCTGATGCATCCCCTTGCCGTACTCGTCAAGCCATTGTTTTGCCTTTCCACCGACCCTCCATCCATCTGCGCTCTGTCTGTCATCTGACATTGAAACTGTGTCGGCCAGCACGAACGAGTGATTTCCAATTTCCCATACTGAGTTTGTTTCTCCAAAGTACGTCCTGAATCTTTCGTAAACTGCCGGTTTGATACCCTTTCCGAACCCTAAGTCGTGATTGCCAGGTAGAGATTTAATCGTCAAGACGCCGGGCGCGTTAGGGAATAATCTCTGGAACCGTTCGTATTCATGGTGCCAGTATGCGTCGTTCATGCGTGCCTTCTCGCCCAGACCGGTTCCGCCTGGTGACGCAGCTGTGTCCTGGGTATCCCATTCTCTACCACCGTCGAATAGGTCGCCGAGGAAGATTACGGATGACGGACTGAGGCCGGTAAGAATATCCTGGTAGACTCGGCCGAGGTATCGGTCAATGTAGTACATTGTTGCCGCCATTGCAGGCTTTGATCGAACGTACGTATGAGGATCGACGAGCTGTGGGTCAGCAATGAGAATTGCATGTTCTGGAGTAGCACCTTCGGGCTGTTGATGCCAGTTGATATCAGTATACTTGTTTTCCGATATTCGTTCGTTCGGAGGGACGTTTTCGAACATACCCATCTTTCCCAGTTGCTCCAATTGCACCTCGACACAGCGTCTCTAAAGCCAGCTAGTTCACCCCAATACACGACTCCAATCCACACCAGTCGTAACAGATTGTTTATGCTTATTTGCCCTCTCCATCCTGCCCGTTTAGTTTCCCACCACCATATCTTGGCCCAATCTGTGAAATATCCGAGTATGGATGCGAAAGTGTAGAAGATGTAGAGTGATATTCGACGGAGGATGTGGATGACGTATAGGGGTAGCCTGGGTACCGACCGGACGAGGCCGGTGATCTTCGATGCGCTGAAAGGCGGCATTTGTTCTCCACCCGCCGAAGCGTGTCGAGGGAGTTCCTTTAGGCGGCCAGGTTGGTGGTTGCTTGTAGCTTGCTGCTGGGTTGGTTGTTTTCTCCCGGTGTCGGTTTTTTGGGGTTGGTTGGTTGGTTGGTTTGGTGCTGGCTGGCTGGCTCAGGAGGTTTTGGGTGGTTTAACGGTTTCTTGGGGCCGAACCGCGACACGCAAGCCAAGGGTTCTGAATTAATAAAACCAAACCAATGCAACGTCGTTTGACAACGGATAATCGGTTCTGGATCGCGAGAAAGGGGTAATGAGAGGAGGGGAGGTTGTAAGTTGTGTATGTTGAGGTTGGAATCCGAAGTTGAATTTGAGGTTGAAGCCGCTGAAGATGTTTACGTATGGACAAATTGGTGTAATTGCTTGCGAAGGAGGCTCGTTAAAGAACAGATCGTCTGGTTCCCGTCGTCGGGGTTTGTTCTGGAAGGAGACGTGCAGGAACCGTTAATTGAACCTGGGAAGAGAAGGTCGATGTCTTATAATGTATGCTTCAGGTAATCCTGCACATACACATGCATACATACAGGTTAATTCCGAGTGACTGCTTATGGAGGTTGCAGCTGGAAGATATTATATTGTCTCGAGAAGATGCTGTTAAATTAGATATTAGATATTAGAATATAATATAATGTAAGTTCTGCAGGTTAAATATAAACAGATTCGAAGCCTGCGCAGACGTCTAGAAGATATATATCGATCGTGTGTGTCCAGATATGCTGATGTAACGAGTGAAAGATTGATGGAGAATCATAAGATAAATTAACAGAACCTCGATGTATCGCAGCAAGTGGAGTCCGTGTCCAGGACTGTGGTCGTCGTCAGGAGAATTGTAAACAGGCGAATCGGAAATTGGGCCGCCAAGTAAGCCAATCAAGGGGTTCATCCAGGGTCTGCTGCTAAATCTGGTGCAACGGATTGCGGTCTTTGACTTTTAAAATTTAAAGGACATAGCTTTATTTATATTTATGGCTATAGTTATATAGTTTATAAAATCGAGGGCTTGAAGCTAGAAACGTTTGACGTGACAGCCGTTGAGGCTTAGATCTCAAAGTATAAAAGTATATCTAGATCTATCAGATCTTAATTGACAGCTGTTCCAGAACGGCTTTTGTTGCAATTTCACAATCCAACGCAGTTTCCATAGTTCGACGAGGTAGATTTAAATTGATTTCGCATTATTAGACCGAGGATGGGATATTAATATCGTAAACGGTATTAGAAGGCATTGTTATTATGTATGTGTCAATATCTCAGGACGACTGTTATGATTTCAAGCGGATAATTATACTACGGTCTACTCTCCATCTATATATATATATATATGACTTTATTTAAGGTCGTATCCGTGTACAATATTAATTCTTTAACTGAGCCGATAAGACAAGATGAAATATGGTAGACAATGGGGGTACCAGGGTATGATCAAGAGGTATACTCTGATCCAAATCCTTAGTTCTATAGTATATTAATATTGGCAATACTTATGTCGCACGATTCGTAGGATGCACTCGAGTGCTCATGCAGGGCAAAGTTTCCAAAACCAGGTTCTACACACCTTCCAAATCCCGAAACTTGGTGTGACAGGCACATGAACATGTCCCATGGAGCGGTAGGGTTCTTCAAGAAAATGAAATCGTTATATCAATGATTATAACTTGGATTAGTTATACTAGACCAGTCGACGGACTAGAGCATTTATCTATGTTGGACTTGCATCCTCATGATCAAGGGTTGATAAACTGCTAGTCCAGACTTGAAGCTTAACTTGTGGCATATCTACCTATATCGCATGCATGGCGGTTTAAGACTCCACCGTTGACACAAGTTGTCAAAAACGGTGGCACTAGCGCTGTTAGATCATATGCGCCCAATTGGCCAATTGATCCCACAGTTTGTGCAACTGCGCGACTGGCAACCTAGGCACCTAGGGGCTCCTAAGTAAATATTTATATATCAGGGCGTAGGATACTCTTTAAGATCTTACCATCCTACCCAATATGTCGTTCATACCGATCAAACTACTTTCGGCCAATCCCTTCTCTTACTTTCCTTCATCCTAACTTTGACCCTTTCGCCACTCAGGTCCAGATATTGGAGTATACCAGCCCAGAGAGAATAAAACTCTTCCAACCAAAATGCTGTACCATTTGTGTTTCAGGATTATCTTAGACTTCATCTTCTTTTCTTCAGTGGTTTTCTCCAGGGTGACGATTAGCAAAGACGGCCCTGGCCGCCTACTCGGATTCGAAGGCCTAGCATACCAAGCTATTCGATACGAACCGCTCTGCGGAAACCTAGGTAGAGCTTATCCAAACTCGATCGACACAGGATTCGACGCAAGTTGTCGGCCAGCCATAGAATACTTCGTCAATACCACAGATAGTCTTGCATTCTACGACATCACAGGTCAAGAGCTCACCGGGGTCCGAGTTGGGGGTGGGCGAGATCTATGTATGTGTTTCGCTATGAAGGATTCAGCTAGAAGTACTTTCGCAGGTGCCCTGTGCGTATGGGTCTATGGAAACGACGGCCAAGCCGAGGACGCGGGTGGGTCTATAGTAGGGAGTTATCGGCCTGCAGTGGCGCTGGATAAAGCGTTACCAGTCTGTGGTGGTAGTTTTGATCTAGAAGCCGCGAGAGAGACATGGTCTCGGACTGCGGTGCAAGCCTCTGCGGTGGAGCCCGAGACCAGAGCGGCATCTACGGTCAATGTAGTAAATTCTATTGGTGAAGGATCGATATCTACGAAAGAAATCACGAAAATAGATATCAGAACTGTGGTTAGCTATAGTGTTATTACATCTATTCCTTCAGGTAACCCGCCTTCATACTTATCATGGCTGTTCTCTCTATACAGATGAACACCTCGGATGTCAATAAGGATCTAACACCATCTTGTTTTGAATACACACTAGTAGTATCATCTATAAGTACAGTGATTTATACGACAACAGGTACTAATGGAGTACCAATCACCGTAACGAGTGTTACAACCATCGAAAGTGCTGTTAGCCCGGAGTTTTCAGATCCTAAAGGCCAAAAGAACCGAGGACTCGATTCAGGCGCAAAACTTTCGCTAGGGCTTGGCCTAGGAATTGGATTACCAGGGGTTGCCCTACTTTCCCTGGTGGTGTATAGGCGGGTGGCTGTGGCTCGCAGGAAGGAAAGAGGACTTTCCAAAGTTGAGCCAGGAAGTCTAGGGACTGGGATTATCAATGGGTCTACAACTGGTGGCACATCTGGCACTTGAGTTATATTTTGATTTTATACCAATTATAAGCCATCAGAATATATATATAGGAATTAGTATTAGTAGTCTCTGAACAATCATGGTAGTAATTCTCTGATAGATGATTAGGGTACTCGATTGTAATGACTTAAGAACTACACAGATAATGACTATTTTTTGAACATGAAAATGGAATCAGTCTTTAAACATAGGACCAACTAAAACTCCAATAAGGATAAATGTGCATATGAAAAACCATTGTACTACCCACAAAGTGAGCAAAACTTAAAACTTAGAGTGTCTTCTCCCCCTGTGTCTAATATGAATCTGCTTGTCCCTCCTTCTATGCTTATTCGTTGGACTAACATCCGACGCAGAAGCTTGAACATTCGCTGTGACAGCATCATCGCCACTATCACTCACTGCTGCATCAGTAACTGACGGGGCTGAACTCTGATCCGCTAAGTCAGTACTCGATGAACCACCAGTGCCTGAGGAATCGACAGTAGCAGGATCAAGTGGAGAGCTTGTGGTGGCTGGAGATGTGCTAGTTACGAAGGTGTTAGTACGCATCGTAATGGACGTAGAAGGTGCTGAAGCGGCGGTAGTAGCCATCATTGAAGTGGTTGTTGTTGTAGCCGCTCCACTTGAGGCTCCTGATGAGTTAGGTTTGCTAGATGCAGATGTGCTGGTGGGTTTAGTCGTAGATGAAGCCTTACTCGAGCTGGAGACCTTGAGTCCCGCACCGCCACTGGATTGACATTAGCTAATATTTTACAACAATTGGAGGGTATGAAGTCTGTTCCGGAAATGCTTACGCAGCGGTTAACTTTATAGGCGTGGTTAAGGTAAAAGTCTTAATACCACCAGTGAGCGTAACCCAAAGCGTCAATGGGTCGTTTCCAATCTGCTCAGTCTTGAAGGACCCAACATTCGTGATGCTGTTTCCAATAGGAATAGTAACCGGAATTGGGACATTGCACTTGTTCCCGGTCTGACAACCAACATTAAAACCAATAATGCTCTTTTGGTCGGCTGCAGTATTCCAACTTATGTTGTACTGACACTGATCCCGGGCCATACGATTCATGAAAGCAGTCGCCATATCGTCATGCTTTTTGGTGATAATTGGCCAGTTGACGTATTGAACGAACTCATCGAGGACACTTTCGACCCACATTTCCAATAAGCTATATCTTTTTGTGTTTCCGTTGATTGTGAGCTGGTCCACATCATACCAGCGAAGATTTGCTTGATGGAACATGTATGGGTCCTGACGCAATGCTAAAAGATTCTTCGCTGTAGATTCACGTTCCAAGTTGAGAAGGTCAAAGATGTCGCCCTTACCAGCGGACGTATCGATCCATTCTTGCAATGTACAATTAGCAGTATCGCAGTTAAAGTAGATTCTAGTGGCGAACCGGGGTATGACGTTGAATCTATCAAATCCATTGCTCGACATATTTGTAATGAATGGCCAGTAGAGGTTGAAGGGGCTGATTAATGGCGGACGGGTGTTATCACCAACACAGCTGGTAAGCCCTGCCGTTGACCAGGCCCGAAGAGCATCACCGTTATGGAGACCAGTAATTGCTGGAGGAACAAGACCCTTCCCTGACCATTTAGCAGCCGATGTGAAAGTGGCTAGCTTGGCGAAGTTTTGATTAAAAGTGATTTCTCTATAAGCATCGTCATAGGTAATTGGATTCTCGCCCAGGTGAGTGAATGTGTGGGACATCAGCCCAAAGGCATCTCGATAAGTTTTGTCCATGAATTGGAGAACCAAAGGATCTTTCTGCGTTAACTGTTAGCGTATTTCAAGCAAAATCAAAAGAAGTAGTTTGATAAAAGAGCTTAATTAAGAGATTACCTTCATACAAGCTAGGGTCCAAGTAAATGTAGAGTTCGGCGGCCACATATCCGTTCCAGTGCCCAAAATCTTCTGGTATTCGAGAGGCGTAACTTCCTCACCTCGGACAAAACCTATAGGATTCGCACATGTTTTACCAACACCGATCGTTTGGGTGTAAATAAAATTGCCGTTCCCGTTAAAGGCAAATTCAATGAAATAGTTACTTCCAGCGTTACCCCCAGATACAAGCCGAGTATTTAAGTCGGCTTGCCAGTTTAGATGCTCTGTAACGTCGGAAGGGCGGAGTCTGAATGTTCCACCATCGGTACCGTATATCGCAGAATGTAAGAAGAGATCATCGACTATCGAACAAAAGACTTCTGTTAGGCCACATTTTATCTCTGAAAAATTTGTCAATATAGCTAGCAGGAGACCTACTTTGACTATTGAACAGTACTCTTCTATAACCTGCGAACAATCCGAAGAGGCCCCAGTTAATCCAGACGTGATTCAGGTAATTACTGACGGCACTCCATGTCCCGAAGCTGGTAAAGAAAACCATCTGCTGTCTCCCATTACTGAAAGTGTTGATAACACCGCCGCTACTTGTACTTGTATACTGTGAATTCGGACCGAAGGTCATGAAGGAGATAGTGCTGCCTGAATCCGTAACTTTGACAGGATAGTGCCACAAGCCTGTCATTTTTATTGCAGGAAACCTTCAAGTAATATTAGCCCACTCTCACTCAACTCTAAATTCATTGGCCATTAGAAAGTTTTGAGGTCCATGGATCCATCAAACTTACTTCAGACCCGCGGTAGGGAACTGTTCAGCAGCTACGTTCTTGTCCACGGTTACGGTTTGGTCATCACCAGCACTGCAGCATCCACCCAATGCCTCGGTACCGAATTGACTGCTCGGGTATGCATTTATATGAATCATTCGAACACCTTAATTGATGCCACGGAAGCATTAACCTTTAGCTAGGACTCTATACAGTCTGAAGATGGCTTGATTGCAAGAATACGTACCATAGACAGTTTGATAGTCGTACATTGCATTCCACTGATCTTGGGTGAGAGCACTACGCCATTGATCGCCGAAATTATATGAAACTTGGCTAATTACTAAAAATAATCCGTAGTTTCCGTCGCCGTTTGTTTGGTTGAGCTGTGGAAGAGCGATGCCACCCTGTGGAACAAGTAAAACTTCATAAGGAATACCATATCCATCCATGGTACCTGTTACGGTATCCGCATTTGGTTTATCTGGACTGACTATTAAGACTGTATTTCGTATTTTAACTGCGATTCCTTCCGTGGTCGCGAACAAGAATCCTAGAAAGGCTATTAGGAGCGTCGAGAGGCGCCACACCGCTATTCTGTTGCATATATGCATGTTAATCATAGACGGATGAATATTCTTTTCAAAAGCTTTTTATTCGAAGATGAATTGTATTTTCGATGTCCTGGTAAGATTTGGAGGGCTAGGTCCCAGGCTAGATAATAAGAAAGCTTGTGTTTCTAGTCTCTCTCCCTCACGAGATGCTTTTATACGCATCATTTGAAAGACGACTACCTCGCCTGTGCCATAGGCAGCCACGAGACGCACACGCGGGGCCGCCCATCAAGTTTGGAATCTGGATTCTGCCTTGATGTCATGGCATGATCATCAAAATCTTCACAACAGTTGGTCTCGAAGCCGCACTAGGGCCCCGATCTCGAGCTCTCGGCATATGTAAGCCTCAGATACTGATAAGTTATCTCTCAAATCTCAGGTGAGTGGTGTATCCAGTATTGAATGCATCCTAAGACAACGTCTAGACCGCATCAATGTTTTTGAGAAACTTCAATTTAGGTATATGGGGTGCATGAAGGCGACAGCGTGAATCTGGGTTAACTATTTTGGGGGAATATAGGCCCTAACGCAGGTACAACAAATGATGCGCAATACGCTAGTAACGAGGAGTGTAGTGTAAAGAGAAGGAGGGTTGTTGCTATATGTTGGATTGAATGACGGATGAAGCGTCGAGGACGTATATTTCCGGATGCGGATATTGTATTACGGCCAAGACCAGGAAGATCGATAATAACTATCAACACATTCTTTCGGAGGGGTAGTCTTAAAGTTGATATCTACCAACAAACACAGGAACTGCCACTGAGACTAATCTATCTGGGCCAATGCTTGTGATCTAGCCGTATAGCCTAGTTCCGTACGAAATGAACCAGGTTTAGCGATCGATCGAGCGCCTCCCCGAAGCCTGAAACGTGGAAAGTGCGCCAATCGTAATGTATTCGATAAACTCAGACCGAAAATTACGTATACGCGTATTAGAATCTAGAGCCTAGGACATATCTAACCATGATATACAGATATCGATGGGGTTTCCCTCATTAAAATTCTCCAGATTCTACTAGACTCGAATCTAAAGATTTTACCTGATTATATCTCAGCTCGTATTCCATCTTTCAAGCGAAAATTGGATATGGGCCGTAACATAGCATCCAACTTGATTTTACTTCTCTGCTCCACCCGGTGATAAAGTCGTTTTCGAAGAATACGCCATTGCAGGACAGTATCTCTGAGCTTTGCCTCCCCCCCAAAATCATGTATTAATTCAGGTCCCATCAGCTGGTTGTACGTGAGACGGTATAAATACCAGGCCTGTGCTAAACCAAAGACTTTTGGGTTGTTTCTGTTGCATCTTCGTTTTCGGGCTGAACAAGCGATGTGGGTCTTTCGTGTCACACAGCCGTACAGCCGTCTACGCGTAGACAACAGTTCCAATTACTCGACCGCGCCTCAATTGTTTTTTTATTTATTTTAAATTTCAGATTTCCAAGAGAACAACCCCAGCAATTCGAGAGCTTTTGGACTTCAGAGTCCGTCAATTTATTTCTGCGATAAGTTCCACAACATGGCTGATTCACAAGCATCCGAAAATGCAACAGGTTCCAACACGCTCCCGAGACAAGGGCCACCAAAGAGACGAAGAGAGGATTCTGGACTCGAAAATATGGGCCTACAGGATGATGAAAACCAAGCCGGCTCTTCAAGGCCCCCTCCGAAAAGATCTGCCGTTGACTTACCAGAAGAACCCGAGGAGCCTGAGGAGCCTGAGGAGCCTGAAGAACCACCCCGTTTGAAAGAGTATCGTTCTAGTTGTCCTTCTGCAGTTGAGCAACGAATTGGACGAGTTCGAAGGCAACGTATGTTCTGCCTCGGACGCGAGAGGGATGAGGAAAACCTTAGGGAGGAATTCAAAATTGCTGGGTCTACTGGGAATGTGTATACTGTGGTTCTCGAGAATATCCCAACATGTGATTGTCCCGATAGTAATCACAAAAACGAAACCTGCAAGCACATTCTGTTCGTCATGATCAAGGTGCTCCGGGTGAGAGATGAATTAAGTTATCAAGCTGCTTTGCTCAATTCAGTAGGCTTCTGGCGTTCTCTAGTACAAAGAACCTGATCAACAACTTACGAAATCCACGCTGCAGGAAATCCGTGAGATATTCGAAACGTCATCGGTTCGGGTCGAGTTGGACACTTCTGAGGATAAGCGTCAACGGAAGCCCCTCGATGCTGACGAATGCCCGGTTTGTTACGAGCCATTCCAGCAGGGCGAAAAAGGTGTTTTGTTCTGTGTAGCACAATGTGGTTCCAACATTCACAGGGTTGGTCGTGAATCTGTATGTGTTTGAAGAAAGAGCCGATTGGACTAATAGCTCTTTAGGAATGTTTTCGCCAGTGGGCTGCTGTTAAAGTGGGGGATACAGTAACCTGTGTCATGTGGTATGTTTCCATGAGACCCGGACATTGTTCTTTGACTCTAAAAACTTGACTTAGTCGCACCCCTTGGGAAGAAAGCTCTGCGGATAGGGATTATGATTATGAAGATATTTTGCAAAATGCAACGAGAGGAAGAGAAGGATATCTCAATGTTGGGCAGGAACTTGGCATGGGTTCACGAAGAGGTAATTCAGTGATATCTTACCAGCACGAGCCAAGTTAATGTTGCTAACATTGCACAATATTAGACCGCTACTAGTATAGTTTCATGGTCGAGGATTGGTCCGACTACTTACCAATAACAATATAGAGATTTTTAAGGCTACAACGGCCCTTGTGATCTAAACGTCTTCTTCCTAGGGTCCTTCTCACGAGACCGTTCGATATCTGAATTGTCTCTCATTCATAGGTATTGAGCCGTCTAGATCTACAAAACCGGTATCTGAATAGATATTACATTGCTACGTGCAAGAACTAGTCTTTAAATTTCTCCCATTGCCCCCTCTGTGATTTATCCTGCTACTTCGTATTTCCTGAGTCTGGTGCGAAGCGTCAAAACTAGACACACTGGCCTTGCCGTAACGATCTTGGGTTTGTATACAACACTACTATAGATAAATTTGGTTGATATTAATCCAATGTGGAAAAGAGTTTTCTTCAATTCCTCAATCGTAAAGCTCTGTTGATTTTAAAATACATTGAGCGTTTCGAATTCATGAATGGAGTTTCCTCCTTATAAATTTGATTTTATCTGCTTTTTTTATTAATTGAAGAAGTAGCTACCCACAGCGAGGCCAGGTGTAAAACCTTAGAAGTCTGTTCAGCGTTTGTACGACCACGGTCCCGATCGATCCGTTTATTTTCCGATGTGGCGCCAGGGATCATTGGAACCAAGCTTCGCTTTCCATATGTCCAAGGAAATACGATAAGGATATGTTCTAGTTGACAATATTATGCGCATATGCAAACCCAGATCAGAAAACACTAAAAATTGTAATTGATCATGATAGATATTACACCCCTCGTAATTATATGATATCATGGTCGTCTAAAATAGATGTCGTTAGACTATCATTTAAATATTCCGCATTAAAATCCTGTACACAGGGCATCCGTATGATCATAAAATTCCTGAAGCCAAACTCCCACCCTTCCATCTTCCTCAAGTTCTTCTTGCTCAAGGTGCTTCCGCAC